CGCCCTTCCCCGGGCCCCCCCACACCGCACTTCGGGGGTGCTGGGACTTGAACCCGGGGCCTCGCAGGCACCAGGCGCAGCCCCAGCCCCGGCCTCTCTTCCTCCTCTCCCTGGTGCTGGGACTTGAACCCGGGGCCTCGCAGTTTCCACTTCTTTTCACTTGAGCCTCAACTTCTGGTCTTTTAGGAGATTAGAGCCCCCAAGGATTTATCTGCCTGGAAGACCGATTTCTTCCTTTTAATCTTACCTGAGAATATATATGTGTGTGTGTATATGTGTGTGTGTGTGTGTGTGCGTGTACACACACATATACATATATATGTCATCCTGGAGCCTGAATTAGGGGCCTAGGCGGCGCCACACATGCATAAACTCCTTAGCTCAAGGCTGGCGCTCTTACCACCTGACCCCTGCCTCCACTTCTGGCCTTTTTTTTTTTTTTTGTGGTTAATTGGAGATGAGAGTCTCTTGGACTTTTCCTGCTCCAGCCTTCTTAGAAGTTGATCCTCAGGTCTCCACCCTCTGAGTAGCTAGGATGACAGGCGTGAGCCACCGGGGCCAGACGGATTCTTACTTTATTTTAAAGTAGATCCCTGGTTCCTCATTTCACTTCTAGTTCTCGTACCTCTGAGAAAATAAGGGTATTTTGAGCTGAACTACAATGTCAGCATCACACTTAACGGTTAGTAAGCACTTAATGCCACTTACAATGTAGGGCATTTAAAATCTGCCTCAAAGTCCACGTGTCCCTAGCAGTACAAGCTCATGGGATAGTTCCTTACCTTTTGGGGTGTGTGTCCCAGGGGGAATAGGTCCCTAACTATTCATTCTTTGGGTCATTCAGCACCCAGCCAGCTTTTGTGGAACACTTGTGAGGGTCAGCACACCGCCTGCCTAGGGGCAGGTCATGTCCCCTCATCCCTACAGACCTGTGTGCTAGTCCTTTTGAGGTGACAGGGCAGGGGCTGGGGATGGGGGGTGGGAAGGTGGCTCAAGTGGTCGAGTGCTAGCCTTGAGCAGAGAGGCTCAGGGACAGCGCCCAGGCCCTAAGTTCAAGCCTCAGGACTGGCAAAAAAGAAAAGAAAAAGTCATTTCCGACCACCAGAAAGCCAGAGAACAGCCAGTAAGAAACTCATCAGGCCAGCACCTTTTTTTTTTTTTTTTTGCTGGTTGTGGGGCCTGAACTCTGGGCCTGGGCACTGTCCCTCAGCTCCAGCTCAAGGCGAGAGCTCTACCACTGAGCCACCTTCCCAGCCCCCCCTTTTTTTGAGGTGCTGGGGATGGAACCAGAACCACAAGCATGCTGGGCTGGTGCTCCCCACTGAACTGCCCTGAGATTGGTTTTTATCTGTCTGAATATATTTCTCACTAGCCATTGCTGTTTTTCTTACCTATTGTTCGTTTTTTGTTAGGTAATCCATTTGGAGATAAAGACACCTCCTCAGAACTTTGATACAAAGAATAAATAAAAATCCCTTTGTTACGGTGCTGGCTTAGTGCCCAGGACAGTCTCCCGGGCTGGGCAAAACAGGTTGGGGCCCAGAGCCTTTGGCACTGTTTGTGTGGGCATTTCCTATTTGGTGTGAGGGGCCTAGTGAGTTTCTCACTGGCTGTTCTCTGGCTTTCTGGTGGTCAGAAATGACTTTTTATTTTCTTTTTTGCCAGTCCTGAGGCTTGAACTTAAGGCCTGGGTGCTGTCCCTGAGCCTCTCTGCTCAAGGCTAGCACTCTATCACTTGAGCCATAGGCCTACTTCTGGCTTTTTCTGAGTAGTTTATTGGAGATAAGAGTCTCACAGACTTTTTCTGCCCGGGGCTGGCTTTGAGCTGTGACCCTCAGATCTCAGCCTCCTGAGTAGTGAGCCTGAACACTGGGCCTGGGCACTGTCCCTCAGCTCTTCAGCTTAAGGCTAGCACTACCACTTGATTCACAGCGCCATTTCCGGCTTTTTTCTTTTGGTTATGTGGTGCTGAGGAATCGAACCCAGGGCCTCATGCATGCAAGTCAAGCGCTCTACCACTGAGCCAGCCCCAGTTATGGAGTACAATGCTTCTTAGACCACATTACCTCTTCCTTTGCTTTCCCCCATTGTGTGTGAGTGTGTGAGCTGTTACTAGGCTTGAGCAGAACCTTAAGTTTTTGCCTGGCTTTTTCAGTGAAGGCTGGTCCTCTGCCCCTTCAGTCATACCTCCATTCCAGCGTTTTGTTATTTCTGATGTCATTTCTCAAGGATGCTGGGCGACTTGAGTGGGAGGGTTGTTTCTTTTTCTTCCTCCTCCTGCTTCTCGCCTCATGGTGGTGATTTCTCCCCGCTGCGCAGGGCCCCCCGACCTTTGGGTTCCTCTTAGACGTCGACGGTGTGCTGGTTCGGGGCCACAAAGTCATTCCGGCTGCGCTGGACGCCTTCGCCAGGCTGCTGGACCCACAGGGGCAGCTGCGGGTTCCTGTGGTTTTCGTCACCAACGCCGGGAACATCTTACAACACAGCAAAGCCCAGGAACTGTCAGCTCTGCTGAGATTCAAGGTAGGAAGCATTGACACCAAGGACGGCACTCCTCATCAAACCCCAAATCCTTCTACAGCCCATTTCTGGGTCAGGGCATCACGTCATTGACAGACCTTGGGTCATGGCAGGTTGGGTCAGTGAGAGTCTTTTAATTCTTTGGGAAAAATAACCTGAAGTTTGGGTTTTCTTTTCTTTCATGCCAGATCTGTGGCTTGAACTCAGGGCCTAAGTATTATCCTGCTTTTTTTGCTCAAGGCGGGTGCTCTACCACTTGAGCCACAGCGCCACTTCCCATTTTCTGGTGGTTTATTGGAGATCAGAATCTCACGGATTTTCCTGCCTGAGCTGGATTTGAACCTTGATCCTCAGATCTCAGCCTCCTGAGTAGCTGGGATGACGGGCGTGAGCCACCTGCACCTGTCTTTCTTTTTTCCTTCATAGATGAAAGCATCTGCTGCTTCCGCGTTACCTTCTCTCAACCCTGTGCCTTCCTCCCTCTCGGCTGTCCCTCCAGGTGGATCCAGACCAAGTCATTCTCGCTCACAGCCCCATGAGGCTCTTCTGGCAGTTCCACGGCAAGCGGATGCTGGTGTCCGGCCAGGGCCCTGTGCTGGACATTGCCCAGGCGTATCCTTTGTGTTTCGTTGCTGTGGTTAGAGAGGAAGGGGCAGGACGGGGGGCTTCCTTGCTCGGCCAGGGGGACCAGCGCGCAGGGGCACCTGGGTGCTTGGTGGGCTCAGGGGGAGCGCGTGTAGTGCGCCCTCGTGCACAGTGGCTCCCGGAAGCCAGGCCAGAGCTGCTGTCACGGTCTTCTGCCCCAGCCCCTGCCTAGGTCTAGGGAAGAATCAGGAAACCGTATTTAAACGACCCTGCGATTCTAGGACGCTCTCCTGCTTGGGTGCTCAACCGCTTGCTAGCTGTCCCTTCGGGCACACAGAGGGCAGGCTGTGGTTCCCTGGTCTCAGATGGCTTGTTCCTCTGTGCAGACACTTCCTGCACACCGTGTTGGACTATGCGCTCTGAAGTGGTGGAGGACCTAATAAGGCCCTTGTTTGGGGCCCTGGCACCTCAAAGAAGAAGAGATGGTCTAGTAGCGGAGGACACCAAGAAAGATAGATTCCTGGGGTGAGAATGTGGCTCCGTGGTAGAGTGCTTGCCCAGCATGCATGAAATCCTGGGTTCCATTCCTCAGTACCACAGACACAGAAAAAGCTGGAAGTGGTGCTGTGGCTCAAGTGGTAGAGCACTAGCCCTGAGCAAAAGCAGCTCAGGGACAGCGCCCAGGCCCTGAGTTCAAGCCCAAGTACTGGCAAAAAGAAGAAAGATTCTAAGTGTTACAGGTACTGCCAGGAAAGGACTGGCCCGGGGCAGGACTGGCCCCGAACATCATGGAGGGTCCGGCTGTGCCCCCAGAGCTTGTTCAGGCTTCCCCAGCAGGCAGGGCAGGTAGAAGGTTGGCACGGAATAGCAGGTGATTGGAGGACAGGGAAAGTGGGCTGGGGAAGGGAACCTTGGCTGAGTGAACTCAGTGTGGGCTCCATTGCTGCTGGTGGATTAGAGGGAGTCCTTCCTGGGAAATGCGTCCAGCTGTTCACAGCAGCACTGCTTTGTGCTGTGGTCTGTGCATGCTCCAAGCTCCTTGAGAACCAGGGTCGGGCCGGCGGCGTAAGGCCTGGAGCCAGGAATGTGCCCGCGGGCCGCTGAGCAGTTGTTCTGGAGTCCCTGTTTGCAGTCTGTCTGTACTGCCACAGCCTGCTGACTGGCCCCCACAGGACTTAGGACTGCCCGCCGCCCGGTGTGGCCAGGCCAGTGTGGTCTCCTTGCTCCGTGCATTTGGGGAGTCCCCATGCCCCAGTCCTGTCCAGCTGTGCCTTCCTGACCATGCTCCCACCAGACTGGGCTTCCAGAACGTGGTTACAGTGGATGAGCTTCGCACGGCCTTCCCAGTGCTGGACATGGTAGACCTCGAGCGGCGGCCAAAGACCACGGTAATGCACTCCTTTCACTCGTGGGCTCCTCCTTCCTCCTTGGCACACTTGCTGATCTCCTTGCCCTCCTGCTGAGAGCTGTGTTCTCTGTGTGCTGTGGTGGAGTCTCCTGGCAGGGATTGTTCCCTGGCTAGGTAAGAATGGCCCAAAGGAGCAGCGGCTTGAAGCCTATTTGTAGTTAGCTAGGAACACTTTCAGAGCCAGAGCATCTCTTCCATCTGCTAGAATGTATTTACTAGCTCATTCTCGTGAGAAGCTGTTGTCTTGGCCAGGTGCTGATAGCTTAGCTTAGTAATCTTAGCTACTAAGGAGGCTGAGATCTGAGGATTGCAGTTCAAAGCCAGCCTGGGCTAGACTAACCACAAAAAGCTGGAAATAGAGCTGTGGCTCAAGTGGGAGAATGCCTAACCTTGTGCAGAAAAGCTCAGGACTGGTGTAAACAGAACGAGACAAAACAGGCAGCCTTCCGGGTTCAGCTCCTCGGAAGCAGCGGCTTGACTTCTGGACCTGGGCTGTGGACGTGGTAGGCGGTGCTCTGCTGCTGAATGTGACCCCAGCCTGGGATTTCCTTCCTGGTGAACAGGCCTCTGTTGTTTCTGTGCAGCATGTGAACTTGCTTATTGAGTCAGAGCGCCCTGGAGATTCTGTGAAACATACTTACACACAGGCTTACTTGTGTCTATTTGGATACCTTCACCTTCCCGAGTGTTGTAGTTAGTTACAGACCACATCTTCTTGGAGAGTTTTTGGTTTTTGTTTCTGAGGGGAACAGAGACTTACCTGGGGACAGTGGGGACTCCATCCACCCTCCCCTTACCTGCGGCGGTGGCCTTGCTCGTGGCAGCCAGCATGCCGCTCAGCTCCCGGCTTCCTCTTACGTGGATGTGCACCTCCGCCCTTTTCTTGATGAATCTGAGGGCCCGTTTGTCCAAGGACCCCGTGGCGTGCTGCTCGGACACCTGACGCGGCGTGGATCGTATCCCGCCTGGGCTGGCGTGTTTGGTGAGGTGGCAGCGGTGGTGGCAGCGGCAGGCAGGCATAACTCAACTCGCACACATTCTTGGTTGCCTGGTGGCCTCGAGGCCACGGCCGTGGGCCAGTGCAGAGCCGCTGTGGCCCTTCTCCAGTGGCTGCTGCGGCGGAAGGCGAGTTTTCTTTTAGACGCATGCAAATTCTGTGGGCAGATCTCAGAAGAGCCGTTTGGTGGCCGAGCCAACATTGCCAGGGCCGGGGAGAATGGACCCAGGAGGCTGGAAAGGTGCAGGTCCTGCCTCCCAGACTGACATGGTGACAGGGCCGCTCACGCCATGCTGCTCCTTGCGCTTCCTAGGCCGCCTTCCCTTCAGTCCACTGGCCTCAGGCCTCTCTGTGAGGGTGTGACATCTTGCTTTCTATCCCCCCCCCTCTTCCCACCGGCCTCACTTGAAGCCCTCCTTCCATGGTGGCTCCGCTGGTCGTGCCTGCCCCCTTCTTCTGTGGCTCTCCTTCCTGTCAGCCTTTCCGTGCTGTGCGCTGGCGACGGGGTGGTCTCTGGGCTGTGTGCACCCTGTCTTTGGTCCCCCCACCTCTGTTCTTGCTCCAGAGGGGCACCAAGACCGTGTCACTGATGGGCATCTTCTCTGTCTCTCGCAGCCCCCTCAGAGGAGTGACTTCCCGGCCATTGAAGGTAAAAGACGCCCTCCCTACTGCCCTGTGGGTCTGGGGCCTTTGCTCCTTCCTCCTTCTGTGTGCCTGCCCAGTCTGCCTGAGTGGCAGGGGACGGGGCATCGCCCAGCTGGCGCCTGGCAGGGGACGGGGCATCGCCCAGCTGGCGCCTGGCAGGGGAGGGGGCATCGCCCAGCTGGCGCCTGGCAGGGGAGGGGGCATCGCCCAGCTGGCGCCTGGCAGGGGACGGGGCATCACACAGCTGGCGCCTGGCAGGGGAGGGGGCATCGCCCAGCTGGCGCCTGGCAGGGGAGGGGGCATCGCCCAGCTGGCGCCTGGCAGGGCAGGGGACGGCAGGGGAGGGGGCATCGCACAGCTGGCGCCTGGCAGGGGAGGGGGCATCGCATAGCTGGCGCCTGGCAGGGGAGAGGGCATCGCCTGGCAGGGGACGGGGCATTGCCTGGCAGGGGAGGGGGCATCGCCCAGCTGGTGCCTGGCAGGGGAGGGGGCATCGCCCAGCTGGCGCCTGGCAGGGGACGGGGCATCGCCCAGCTGGCGCCTGGCAGGGGAGGGGGCATCGCACAGCTGGCGCCTGGCAGGGGAGGGGGCATCGCACAGCTGGCGCCTGGCAGG